TTCGTAATCAACATGATTGGCTGACCTCCTAGTAAATGATATCATGATCTGAGAGAACTTGGAATACAGAGGGTCAATGTTAGTGATTAAAAATCTAAATGTTGAACTGTTGGAATATAGAGGGTTGCGTCAAACAACAATGGCCAACTTCAACCAGGAAGTTGAAGATTTTGGGATTTATAAATATGAGTTTATAAATCACAAGTTTTGGTTGGAAACTCAAATTGTGATTTTGGTTGGGAACTTAGTAGTTGCAGATATCATCAGCTCTTGCAACCCAACTCATATAGGGTTTAGAAAGAACTTTGACAACTCCACCATGACTCTTCTTCTTCTTCTCCAAAGATGTTGTTATAGTTCCGCTAGAGATCATTTGCCGACTAGTTCGGTTTGTCGAGGGTTTTCCAGCACAATCTCTCACCTCATCACTAAGTGGATTAGGAACCCGCTTCGTTCGAACGAAAACCACCATTTCTCTCCCCAAACTAGAGATATTGAGAAGAATAGGAACTCTGTGAGCATCGACACCAGAGTTGAATAAAATCAAGCACATGCGCCTAAGGTTCAAACGGTAGGCACCGACACCCCCACGTTTTAGATGACAAACATTGGCATTGGAGTGAAGACAAGGGCATTATTGTCATTTTTTCAAAATATAACAATCATGTGGTGTGACATGTGAGCGTATTACGATGGATTGTGACGGAACCCTAACAGTAGGGGAGTAATTAGTCAATTGTCAGAAACAATAAGGGTAGTTTAAGAAATTTGCCCTTTAAAAAATTACATTCAAAAAAGTACTTTCATAATGTACTTTAAAAGAATCACTTTTAAAAGTAACTTTATAAAACTACTTTCAAAAACAACAATAATAAAATAATAATTATTATAACAAACAAGAAAGCAATTCATTCGAATATCATTTTTATTAACAACAAAAAATAATAATACTAATAAAAATATTGGCAATAAAAATAATAATTATTAAAGTTAACAACAACAACAACAACAACAACAATAATACTAACAAACAACACTAATAACAACAATAACAAATTATAATAATAAAAAAAGCAATAATAATAATAATAATGATAATAATAATAATAATAATAATAATAATAATAATAATAATAATAATAATAATAATAATAATAATAATAATAATAAANATAATAATAATAATGATAATAATAATAATAATAATAATAATAATAATAATAATAATAATAATAATAATAATAATAATAATAATAATAATAAATTTTATATTAGTAATAAACTAACAATAATAATATTGTATAAATACTAATATCACAGTAAAATAGATAATAAAATCGGACTATCATTCTATTCATGAAGAAAAAAATCTCAACGTTGTTTTTTGTCTAATTAGTCATAAAGGAAATTACAATATCATATAAAAATGACGAAAAAATCATAAATGGATAGGAACGTTAAAAAATGGTTTAGAAGTCACCATACTTAGAATTACTGCCAGCTAGATGGTTGGGTGTCGTCCTAAACTCAAATATGGCGAGAAACAACAATAAAATTAATTAGTTTTCAATAAAAAACTAAAGAATCTCAAAAAACAATGCAAGAACGAAAAATATATCAAGTGAGGTTTCACATATTTGGACACAATAAATGGTTGAAAAGTCGTCAATCATCCATTGTAAGCTCCCTGTTGCTATTGCCGCTACAAGCTCCCTACACAAATGGAGAAGACGATATGGGCTAGGCATTTTCTTTATTTTCAAGGGCATAGGTGGTCATTTTGAAATTTTTTAGGATAATTTTGTCCTAGTGAAATGAAATAAGCACTTATTCTATAAGTATTTAAAATAAATCGGCCCTAGGTTACTTATTTTTTAAGCACCTATTTTTAAAATAAGTATTTGTTATGAGCTTTTTTGCTAAACATAAATAAGTATTTATTTTCCACTTATTGTGTGGTCCCGCCACTTATTTTAAGTGATACCAAATGGGGTTTGAGTAATTTTGATTTATATTTGCATATCAACCTTGTAGAGGCATTATATTGTGCTTTTTGTATACCATGTCATTATTGTTGTATTTGATCAGCTAATAGTTTCTAATTGAATGTTGTTAAGCATTCTAAGATTGAACACCATAAGGTTGGGATAGCACCCATAAATCTATCTAGTAGAAGGTCTTGTTGGCACCCATATGTTCAACTATTATAAACATCTTATTAGCACTCGAAAGTCTAATTGGTGTAAAGGTTTTGCTAGTGTGCATGGGAAGAGAATGTAGGCCTAGTTTGGTTGAACCTCTATAAATTTTATGTGTGCCTTTTGCTTTTTTGTGCCTGTTCTTGACATTTCTTGTTGATATTAATTCTCTACATTGTTATCTTTAATATACTACACAATATATTAGTGTTGTCTATCTTTATTGTATTATTAGTTTGAAGAAGACATTAGTTGGGGAAGAAACCTCATAGAACCCAATTTGCCCCCTCTTGGGTTTGGCTACCTGGGCAACATGAAAGGGAGAAAGATCAAAAGAAAGAAATAAAGAAATACTAGGCAAGAAAAAGAATATTCTTGATGACTTCTGCCCTCATTGTAAATTTGGCCTTGAATCCATAAAGCATGTTCTTCTATGGTCTAGCTTTCCAATCCCCTCTACATTAATGTTAGTAACTTCTTAGAGTGGGTCTTTGGTTGGTTTCTTTCAAATGTTAGTTGCCAAATGAAGAAGAAAAATGGCCTGCTTTCCACACTATATATAGACTACTAGGAGCTTTGGAAGTTTTAGAACAATTTGGTTTTCCGATATGTGGATCACAAACCTCTCCATATGCCTCTACTGTTAACCTCTTAAATGAATAGAACAATGTTGAGCCAATTTACCGCAACAAGCTCCTTTCCTATGCATGGGAACTTACTCCCTGAGGTTGGATGAAATGTAGTTGTGATGTATATTTTACCATCTCATTAGCTTTGACAATAATAGCTTGTTTATTCATGACCATAGGGGTGCCTTGATCATAGCATCAAGTGCCCACGAACAATTTCTCTCTGCAAGTGTTAATTGGAAGCTTCAAAGCTTGCATGCCCTCAAGTGTTAATTGAAACCTATGCCCTCCAGGTGGTCTAGATGATGGCTTCTTTGAATGACAACCCATTCTCCCCTATTGCTGAATCATATCAAACATTTCTAACTTCAGGAATAATTTCTTTCGAAGTGGAATCTTACATGTTCCTTATTCAGCCAACCAATTTGCCCACCCTCTCTCCAAGGCATTCACCTTGTGGTTCTTTTTGTGTTGGCCTAGGACTCCCTAGATGAATTTATAATGCCCTTGAGGCTGACTATCATATGATGTATCCTTCATAATGTTTTTTTTTCCCCTAATAAAGCCATCTTTTACTAAGAAAAAAAGAATCTTCAATCGTAATCAAACAAGGACCAAGTTTGGGTTATCAAGCTAAGCCAAGGTAGAAATGATCATTTCTAGCTTAGCTTGGAAGCCTACTTTGGCTCAACCCATAAATTCTTTGCTTGGGTCTATGTTTTGTATTTAGACTTGGCCCAACCTACAATATATGTGTATGTAAAGGCTTATGGATAAACACTATAGAAAAAGTAGGTTTCAAAATAAGTAGAACTAAAGTAGAATATATGCAATGCAAATTTAATAATAATAGAAGTGCAAATCAAGGTGCACTTAGGATTAGAGGTTAAGATAAAACTCAATGTGACATCTTTTGTTACCATGGTTTAATAATTCAAAACAATGGAGAGGCTGAGTAGGTCTCTTATAGAATAAGAATAGGATGGACAAAATGGAGGGGTACATTCAGTCTTATAGGATAGGCTAACACCATGTAAACTAAAAGGAAAATTCTATAAAATGGTTTTAAGGTGGGAGTGTCATATGGAGTGTTGGGTAGTCAATAAACAACATAACAATCGAAAAAAAAACGAGTATAACCAAAATGCAAATATTAAAATGGATGAACGAAAATGCTAAAAAGGATAGGCAAAAAATGAATTCATTAAAGAACCTAAGAGTAGCTCCAATATGTGCTAAAATAAGGGAAGGTAGACCAAGTTGAAAGGACTAAAACAGTAGAAGAACTAGGGATAAGAGAAAGTCTGTTGGTTGAGGTAGTAAGAAATGATTTAAGGGCTTATAATTAAGGGTGTCAATGGACCGGTTTTAAATTGGACCCCGTCCAGTCCAAAATCAGTTTGGATGGATTGGATGGACCAACAAGACATGTTGGATTGGACCAATCCAGTCCAAAATATTTATTAGATTGGATTGGACCTGGTCCGTCTGTAACAAATTTATATTGGATTGGGTTGGGTTAAGGCAATATCTAGTCCATTGATATAAGATAAGAATTTATGTGTCAATGGACTAGGTTTGTTTTGAAACAAATCTAAATGAAAATGAGTTTAAACAGATTAGATTGTCCATACATTCAATTGGACCGGCAGTCCGGATTTAGAATTTATGTGGTAGCTCCGGGCCAAATCTCCAACCTTAAATATAATATTTATGTATGTAAGGCAATTTTGGGCCCGACCAGGCCCAACCCTGAAAATTTGCGGGCTGGGCTAGGTTGGGCCTGACTGG